TAATAAAGAAAATACTTTCGACAGGATCTTCATTCAGCTTTAAGCGAAAGAAAACACTTTTTTCTTTACTTAAAAAATTTTCTTGAATTGACACCTATGTCAGCCTGATATGCATGCTTAGGGAAAAGGCATAGGCAAAAAAGAAAGACTTCACGCTTGAACTACAGGACAGACTAGCGGAATAAAACTCACATCCATATGGGAATAACCCCTGTTCGTAAACCCTGTTGTCTTAGGCTGTATGAGTCTTCCTTAAACGAGTGAAACGCTCTAAAGAGTAGCCTACGGGAGATAGCTATATCTTTTCTATCTTCTTAATAACAAGCACAGAAGCAGGAAAGCTAGCCACCCCGATTCCTTCTTACTAAACTTTAGGCAGTGTCCATACGTTCCGGCGTGGTGCAAGAGAAAGAAAGTCTTGTTTAACTGTATTCCCTTTCATGAGATCAGTAGTTGGTGGAATTCTTCAAAGTCTTTCCGCGGAGAGCACAAAAGCTGATTAATTAGGAAAGAGCTGCTAAGAGGGATGACTCGCCCTTAGCCCTCGTCTAAAACCTAGCAAACAGACCGTTGTAAGCCAGGTGAACTAGAGGATAGGCAGCCCTCGCTTCTCCTCGAATTGCATAAAAAGATGGTTCTGGAGAGAAATCCTACCCGCAAGCATTTGCTTATAGAATGGTGGAGGGAGGAAGGGGTAGCAATACATTCCGCCTGATGCTTGATCACTGCATTCGTGATATATCAAATGAGCTCTCCGATCTATGATGAATAGTTCTTTTCTATAGTGACTTTGGTCAGGAAAGGGAATAGGGCACTCTTGAAGAAGGGCCTACTTCCGTAGGGGTGAAGAAACCTCCTTCTCTTATAGGAGAGGTATGGAATCGCCCCTATCAGATAAAGGCAAAGCGAGAGGCCTTCTAACGTAATGGGTCGCTCGCCCCTATCGAATAAAGTAAGGAGAGGGGGGGGGAAAAGAATGCAAAATAAAGTCTTCAAGAAGTGACAGAAGGAATCATAAAAGAAATAGCTTTCGACTAAAGACGCAGACGATGAGCAAAAGTCTGCTTTAATAAAGTAGCTCGGGGGAACCTTAAGACAGGACATCGGGGCGAAGGTATGAAGGTACGGCAATGCAGCCCAGTCTGGTCTGAGGAGGAGTGGGACTGTGAAAGCTGCAGCAAAGGGAAAGGACTTTCACCAGTTTCTTGAGTGAGAAGTGGATGTTGGTGAAAAAAGGAAGTTGAGTTCAAGTTTGGAGCACATGGCATAAGCCAAAGATCCCGGGATGACTCTAAAAGCTAACGAGATGATTCTGGTTAAACCGGGCATTCCTCAGAGCAAGGAAAGATCTTTCAAAAATAGAATCAAGAGAAAGCGCTAGAACCGATGTAAGTAAGATCCGCTACAACTAGAAGTCGATCTGGTACCTTCCTCCGGGTACTCAACAACTAGAGTCATCTCCCTTTCTCCTTTTAGCTTTAGTCGGTCGAGTAGCTTATTCGAACGTTGTGAACTCATTCCTGCCTTTGCAATACCAGCGCATCTTGTGCCACAGAATCGGTTGTGCTCCGCCTCTTCCCCTCTATCAGAAGATTGCCTTGTGTGGAAGGTTGACTCTTCACTTCAGTCAATGGGAGGAATCCCCTTATCTAAGGTTCTTTGTATGGCACTCTAAACTCTCTTTCTTACGCGAGACAGAAAGTTACACTACCGAAGCTCTTTCAACTTGTCCTGTCTTTGTATAAGTATTGCGGTTAAGTCAGTTAACAAGATGAGAGTCGGAAAATTGAAATAATCACTGTCAAGTGATTCTTGAATGCTTCTACTTATGTAGATGGAGTCCAGTACGCTACTATATATACTGAAAATTCCCAAGACAATATCGGGAGTACCAATCTTATGTGATATGTAACTAGATCGTCAAACTCTTTCCCGCTATACCCATATCTTCTCAAGGACAAAAGGTATAGCATCACATTTTAACAGACAGATGAAAGCTAGGTCTCTACTCCTTCTTCATGAGGAAGAAAGGCCTTGTTATCATCTAGATCGACGTAAGGAAAGTAAGGTGTAGAGTCCAACTAAGACTTCCATGAAAAGTCTCATTCATGTTGATTGAGGAGTTTCTTATTGACCGCTAAACCTTCTCTACTTTTGAAGATAGACTGGAAAGCAAGCTCAGAGAATAGCTAAGTGGAAGTCAGAGACTCCCGGAACTTAGACTACCGGTAAACTCCACCTAGACTGAGATTCATCAGTTCGATCATTTAGTTTGTGTCCTAAGTCCTATATCCTTCAGGAAAGGATCAATTCCTTCTCTAACTTCTACTTGGGGTCACTCCTCGGAAAGATTCTTCATTCGAGTTAGCTTCTTTTCTTAGCTCCTCTCCTTACTTTATTCGATAGGGGCGAGCGAGCTATTCTTCTTTGGCCTTCACCTCGTAAACTCGGTAGCTCGGTGGTAGATCGGTTGACAGTTCACGTCGTGATCCGTTGATGAGCGTTGGTTCAAATCAAATCCGAGATTTCTAACTATACATATATAGATTCATAAGTAAGTTCTTCGCTTTCTGAATGAATGTCAGATCGGAACTCAAAGGAGAATGTGGTCATAGGATTTGTTCTCAAATAGATAGATAGATTTGAAATGGCTATCAAAGGTATGTAATGGGGCTAGAAGCAATAGGAATAAGACTTGTTGCGAAGAATACTAGTGAATTTGAATGCCAAAGTTGGCATCATCTTCTGCCGGGATCTCTCCTAACGGCTGTATTAGATTTCGAGTCCCTATTTCAGGAAGAGTTTTAGGGCATTCCACTTACAGCGACGAAGGGAAGATTAGTTATGAATCACTTACACCATCTTGGCTTTAAATGCAAATTCTGTCGATTAAATGCTCGAATCTTAGTCTCAAACCTGACGATAAGACTTTACAATGATTTGCCTTTATGTTCTGTATCCCGGTGCTGTAATGGGCTCCCTCTGAGGATGATTCTAAGAAACCACAACTGCTGTTACTTAACTAGTAGGCTAGAAGCCCTTTCTTTGCTGCCTGTCTGTGCGAATCTAATAGCCAAACAACCCATAGAAAGGTTCATGCAACGCGAAATGAAGATAAACCCTTCCCGCTCTAACAATGTGTGAGCAGCCATGGCTCTCTCTTTGACGGTAACTTCTTGAGATAACTAAAAAAAGGCGTAAAGCCAGCCCTCCATTAGCATAGGAGAACCTGATTCCAGCCATACTATTAGAAAGTCACTTCTATCTTGAGACTTGTTAGGAGCAGACAGGCTTTTGGCATAGGCAACCTAGCTTACTCGTTTTGATAGTTTCCGCTATGACTATGTTATGTATGTTCTTTGTTGGATATTGTTTAACCTAACCGTAGACTTTCTATTATCTTAGTCAACCTATGAATAGGACCACTGCCTACCGCATTCCTGCCCCTCTCTCTCTTAATCAAAAGCCCCTTGACCTGTGAGGGTACTTTTCCAGTTAGTTGAGAAGTAGCCATTTGCTTCAAACAGGCACCTTGGAGAAGCTGCTTTCCCTTAACTTTAGAATCCCCAAAACCAGATGAAATAGCTTCAAAATGCTCATACCAATTTGCTGAAATCCATCCGGCACTAAACGAAGTAGGTCGATACCAATAACAGGAACCGAAAGCCGCTCTCTTCCATAAAATAAAGAAGAGCGAAACTCTCGCCTATCCGATCAATGGAAAGAAATGACTCCTAAATCAGTCCCTCAAGCGTCGGAATGTTAATCCACTCCTCCCTAAGGCGCTTTTTAAGCCCTCGGATGAAAGAAGTGCGCGGATAGAGCAAGAACTATG